TTTCTAATATTTTGTCTACTGTATGCAGAGCCTCAGAGTAATAAAAGTTAAAGTATTTTATAAAATTTATAGTACAAAAATAATAAAACCGCCTAATCTCTTTACGCTTGTCACTCGTTATGTCTAGTGGCACCACTACACGAGTGTAACCATGTCACAGACACAGAATCTCTGTGTGAGAATCGCTACATCAATATGGCGGAAAGCAGTCCCCCCCGCACGCTTGAATTACCATCCCCTCTCGCCTAAACTAGGACTTTAGACTCAGTCCCTTAGAAGTTCTAACTCAGACACAATCTATGTGTGACGAAGAGAGCAAATATAAGTCCGTGCTTAAGACGATTTTGAATATAAGAACGGACTATGAATACCGCCCTTAGTATGAAATGAACAACACACAAAGTAACAATAAAAAGCAATCCAACCAGTCAGAAGAATTAAGGTGAGAACGACCAACAGCACAATCAATTTAATTAAATAAAGATTAATAACACATTGAAATCATAATTACAGTCAATTAAGAACATTAAACCAATAAATAAAAATCAACAGTTGCCATGTCTGACACACTGAAAAAAGCAAGAGATGGACAAAAAGTTCATAAAGATGGACAAAAAAGAACTACACCAAAAACAACCAGTTTAAATTTTAACTAAGAGACGCAACAAAAATTAGATTGTAAGTAAAAACAGTAATAGGGCCGAAGAAGACTCAAAAATTTATAAGTAGTCAGTTTATATGTAAGTTTTTATTAGTAAAAGAATGTAAATTTTATCCGTTATAGCGCTGAAGAAGGCCCAAAAAAAGGTGCCGAAACGTTCGACAATTATATGTAAGATATACGACAATCATATGTAAGATATATTAATAAATAGCACCTAGAACAAGCTAAGGCTCAATAAATAAGCGTGTATTATCATTTAAAGTATTAAAAGAAAATTTTGGGTTCGTCCCATATTTACTATGGGTGTTTACGATAATTCAAGTTCGAGTTAGTTTCACTAGGACCGAAAAATGAGATAGACATAACCATCTAGAACCTTTATGATTTATGACAACTCGACGCTGTCTTGTATTGCTTGAGTTAAATTAATTGAATTTGTTGAGTTTATAGAGCAAATTTTATTGTAATAAAAAAATGTCAACTGCAAATCAGTCTATGAAAGAAACAAATAATGTTGGTATGTATGTTGGTATACCTCTTTAATAGATATAATTATATATACAGGGTGTCTGGCAATAATCGCCCCACCGGTCATATACAGGTAGAGGAGGTCAAATCGAGTAGAAAAGTCCTTTACCATTTTTTGATTTTTGTAATAAGTACTAAGTAATTAACGAAAAAAGATTGGTGAATCCGTGCAAGTAAAGCGCGCGCAGCGAGAAGGACATCCCACTGCTATGCGATCATTAGGCGCGCGATGAAGCGTTGGGAGGAGCGGCTCTACAAATGACAATGGCAACA